TGTCTCATGTTGAGCTCCTTCTGAGTAAAGATATACTGCAAGCTCTTGTGATCTGTAAAAATCTCACAGTGACCGCCGTAAAGATAGTGTCGCCAAATCTTGAGAGCATGAACGACTGCCGCTAACTCCAAGTCGTGCGTCGGACAGTTCTGCTCATGAGGCTTAAGCTGACGTGAAGCATACGCAACGACCTGGCCGTCCTGCGTAAGGACACATCCCAAGCCCTGTCTCGAAGCAGCGCTGAAGATGGTGAAACTCTGAGAAGGATCGGGAATAGTCAACACCGGTGCTGAAGTTAATCTCCTCTTGAGCTCCTGAAAGCTCGACTCACATCGATCAGTCCACTCGAACTTCATAGACTTCCTCGTCAGCTGGGAAAGAGGGAGGGCGATCTTGGAGAATCCCTCGATGAACCTGCGATAGTATCCAGCTAGACCGAGAAAACTGCGAACCTCGGACGGACTCCTCGGTGTCGACCAGTTCTGAACAGCTGAGACCTTGGAAGGATCTACCTCGATACCTGCCTGAGTAATCACATGACCCAGAAAGGATACTCGCTGGAGCCAGAACTCGCATTTGGAGAATTTTGCGTACAACTTTTCTCGTCTGGGGTTTCGAGAACCACCCTCAGATGCTCCTCGTGCTCCTTCTGGCTCTTCGAGTAAATAAGAATATCATCAATAAAGACAATAACGAACTGATCGAGGTAGGGATGGAAAATACGATTCATGAGGTCCATGAAAACTGCTGGCGCATTGCTGAGACCGAATGGCATGATAACGAACTCGTAATGGTCGTAACGAGTCCTGAAAGCGGTCTTCGCAATATCTGACTCCTTAATCTTCAGCTGATGGTAGCCTGATCGCAAATCAATCTTTGAGAACACACAGGCTCCCCTCAACTGATCAAATAAGTCGTCGATCCTGGGAAGCAGGTACTTGTTCTTGATCGTCAACCGGTTAAGATCCCGGTAGTCGATACACATGCGCATGGATCCGTCCTTCTTCTTAACAAAGAGAACGGGTGCTCCCCAAGGTGACACGCTCGGTCGGATGAAACCGAGTCATAACAGCTCCTGAATCTGCGCCTTAAGCTCCTGCAACTCCTTAGGCGCCATGCGGTATGGGGCTTTGGACACTGGACCGGCCCCTGGAATGAGATCGATTGAGAACTCCACTTGCCGGTTAGGCGGTCCTCTTGGAAGCTCATCTGGGAATACGTCCACAAACTCTCGAACAACTGGAACATCGTGAGGTGAACGTGCTTTCTGAGAATCGTCGACAAGGCTCACCAGATAACCCTGGCAGTTGCCTCGTCGCAATAGCTTAGTGGCTTTAGCCATCGAAACAACATGAGGCAATGAACGATTCCTGGAGCCGAAGAAAGTAATCGACTCGTCTCCCGGAAGATAAAGCGTAATCTCCCGGTCGTGACATCTGATATCCGCATGATAAAAAGATAGCCAATCCATTCCGAGAATAAGGTCAAAATCTCTCATCTCGAGAACAAACGCGTCGGTAGACAAAACTCGGCCACCGATGGAAAGGCTAAGATCTGAAGCTTTAGCTGAATTCACTATCTTTCGTCCCGAGGCCAAACTCACCTCGAGAGGATCGATAGCAGTAGTCGTGCAAACTCCGATGGCGTCAAGACATCGTCGTGAAATGAAGGTATGTGTCGCTCCAGTATCAAATAAAGCAAACACAGGAACATTATTAAGAACAACCATTCCGGACATGGTACCTGGCTGCTGCTCGGCCTCTGCCTGATCGACGGCGTAAACTCGGGCCTGCTGTCTGCCCCTCTGCTGCTGCTGCTGAGGCTGCCTCTGTGCCTGCTGACGGGGCTGCTGCTGCTCCGGTGGCTGCTGAGGCTGCTGTGGCTGCTGCTCCTTCTTCGGACAACGGTTCGCGAAGTGACCGGGCTTGTGACAATAGTAGCACACATCCTGACCAAAGCGACACTCGTCTCGGTGAAGTCGTCCGCATGTCGGGCACTGAGGGATCTGCTGTAGCCTCCGTCGGGTCCTCTTATCTTCCGGGTCACCTTTCCCTTTCCTCTTGATGTTCTTTGGCGGTTGAGTAGATGGTAGAGCTGGCAACGGTGGAACTGAAGATGACTGAGCAGGGGCGGATGGCTGGAACTGCTCACGAACGGCCTCCCTCCTAATGCTGGCATCCACCTCCTGGGCAATGGAGACTGCACGTGCGTACGTCTGTGTCCCGTGGCTGACGATGTTATGACGGACTGCTGGGTAAAGCCCGTCAATGAAATGCTGCGCTCGCTGGGCCTCCGTGCGGACCAAATCAGGAACAAAAGCTGCAAGTCTTGTGAATTCCCTCTCGTACTCGTCAACTGTACGAGTACCCTGCTGGAGCGATAGAAACTGACGCTCCATCTCAGCTCGGTAGTATGTGGGGTAATACTTCTCGCGGACTAAATCCTTGAACATCTCCCACGTACATCCCGCCTTCTCGCCGGGACGCATGCTCCAGTAAGCGTTCCACCAGAGCCTGGCGTCACCGGTGAGCTGAAGCTGAGCGCAAATGACGCGATATCTCTCAGGGCACTCCATGACCTCGAAGATAAACTCCAGGCCCTGAATCCACTCGTCAACTATGCGAGGATCTCCCTGCCCTGAGAAATTTTCAGCATGATAGTCGCGGAACTGAGCGACCACTGTAGCCTGAGTAGGAGCCGGATGATCGGGTTCCCTACGTGGCGGCATCTGAACATTGAGAAAGTTTAACATTATTGAACACATGATGATATTCTGACTGATTACTGAGGCACACAAATCTCTTGACGAGTAGCCAAAAATGGCCGATAATTACTGACGTGAAATCTGAGGAACTCTAGAGTCATATCAAAAGATACTAAAGTCTAGAGTCATATCTGAGTGTACTGGTTTCTAAAGTCAGGTCTGAATGTACTGAATTCTAGAGTTATATCTGAACTCTAAAGTCTGAATCTGAATCGAGCATCTTAACTAAGTCTGATTACTGATTTCTGAGCATAGACAAAGTAATATGTTTATAACTGAAAAACTGAATCAGCACTTACCTGGAGTCGGCGAGGCGTGAGCGTGGCTGTTCAGGTTTTTCTGAAAATTTCTGACTGAAAAAACTTTTCAGAGACACAGAAATGTGCTCTGATACCAATTGTAACACCCCGACTTTTTAATACTATCAGAGTACGCGATTTTTCGCAATTTTCTGAATAAATAAATAAATAAATAAATAAATAAAATACTTATTTTGCGAAAACTGATTCGGGATGCTACCGTGAAAAACTTGATTTTTCTGAAAACGGTTAAAATTTTTAAACTGATAATTAAAAACGGTTTAATGTCTTATCCGACTAACATCGGAACAAAAACTGATAATAAGTACTGAAAGTTTTAGCGGAAATCAAGCGTGGCAAAAACATATATATACATATAATCACAAAAAGTCCTGAACAGCCCACCCGCTCAGTCCTCGTCTCCGATCCTGCGTCCTGAAAAACATAAAAAGTGTGGGGCGTGAGCACTAAACACTTGTGCTCAGCAGAAACTCATACTAATGTAAACATCGTAAATAATAACAATATCATGAACTAAGCATATATAACTGAACTGAAACTGAAACTGATATCTGATACCGGTCTGATCTCGCGACATAAGTCACGTAACTGATAACTGAAATCTGTCGGCACAAACTAATACCGCAATCTCCCGGCACAAACTAATACCGGACCATGTGCACACTCTAGTGGTTAGAGTAGGCCACTAGAACCCAGAATGGACCGGCGACCATTCCGAGCGGATACTGAATATACATACCTCGAACATGGTAGCGTAATTATAAACAATGTAGTACTTAGTCTGAGTCCCCACCTGAACTGCTGAAACTGAAACTGAATGGCAGTGCTGATGCCTGATCAAACTGAAAATAATATAAATAATTACTATTGACTGTGCTCAGACTGATAATTTAACTGATTGATTATGTTAAGATGCTCTACTGAATCTGACATGATATTCGGACTTATTCGGTATAACTGAAACCGGCAAAGTACGAAACTGAACTGACATAAATTAACTGATCTAAACCTGACCCGAAATTTAACTGAAAAATAACACTGAAACTGAAAACCAGGACTAAAACTAAAAATAACTGACTGAACCGGTCCAGCCGGTCTGAACCTGTCTGGACCGGACTGCCGGTCGACTGAACCGGGCAGTCAGGTTG